GGGGCTGATGTACTCAGTGTGAGTTGTCCCTGAGGCAGGGGCCTCAGTTTCCACCTGGAGATGGCACGGCCACCCACTCCCAGAGGTAGTGGAGAGAGGCTCAGGTGACCAGGCTGGGCCAAGCTAGAGCCCACAGAGGTGGCAGGAGGCGAGTGTGGCTGAAGGGAGACAGTCATCGGGAACTCAGGTGAGCTCGATCAGGTGAGGGGGCTGGGGGGACACTCCTGTCTGAAGGGGCGAACCTGCCGCCTGCCCTAGGCCTGTCCGCAGCTGCTGCCTGCCCCAGCCCCATCCCCGCCTCACCCCTCATCCCACTCCAACCCCACCTCCTCCTGAGCAGGAGTCAGGCCCTTGGTTGCCATAACAACTGGATCCCGGCAGTAAAAATAGTAACTAATTTTTTATTCAACTTCTTTTGCTCTTGGAGAAAAAGAAAATCCATTTCTGGGCTTGAGTTTCACTTTGGGGGTCCCCTCTGGGGCCCTGAAATTTCCACTGCCAAGGTCTGCTTGAAGGTCAACAGCAGGCCGGGGCCAGGAGGAGGGCAGTGGGCCACAGGGCCTGGACAGGTCCAGCCCCAGCCCCCTGGGAGCTGTGGTTACCAGTGGCAGCCTGGGCCTGGCCGGGGCAGAGGTGTCGCTGGTACCTGGGGACAGGTGTGTGTCCCGGTGCAGTGGACAGTGAGGCCTGGACCTGCGGGGTCAGAGCAAGGGTCGTAGAAGTCAAGGTCAGGGCAGAAGCCATGGCGTGTGGGGCTTGGCTTGGCTTACTTCTGTTTGACTTCTGTCTCCTGGAGGTCTGAGAAATCACCAGAACAGGAGTTCCATGTCGGGAAATCAGCCTAGAGCCCAGAGAACTGGGCTCAGGGCAGTCCTACCCCTAAAGGGCCTGTGACCTTGGGAAGGACCCCTAGCCCATCGACCTCAGTTACCCTCATCAGCAGGAGGGCAGAGAAGGCATTCATCTCTCCTATCCGAGGTCTCACTGGTTCTGTGACTTGTGCTGCCCAGCAGGGAACTCATTACCCATCCTGGCTGGGACATGCACATGCAGACGCCAGACACACAACAGAAACAAGACTTCAAAAATGTGACTGCTCCTTACTATGCACCAGTGCTCAAAAGGTCATTTCTTCTGTTTCATTTCACTGTTTTTCTTCTTCTTTTTTTTTTCCTCGTCTCTCTTTTTTTGAGAGGAAGTCTTGCTCTGTCACCCAGGCTGGAGTGCAGTGGCACAGTCTTGGCTCATTGTAGCCTCCACCTCCTGGGTTCAAGCAATTTTCTTTTTTCTTTCTTTTTTTTTTTGAGACGGAATTTCGCTCTCGTTACCCAGGCTGGAGTGCAATGGCGCGATCTCGGCTCACCGCAACCTCCGCCTCCTGGGTTCAGGCAGTTCTCCTGCCTCAGCCTCCTGAGTAGCTGGGATTACAGGCATGCGCCACCACACTCAGCTAGTTTTGTGTATTTTTAGTAGAGGCGGGGTTTCACCATGTTGACCAGGATGGTCTCGATCTATCGACCTCGTGATCCACACGCCTCAGCCTCCCAAAGTGCTGGGATTACAGGCGTGAGCCACCGCGCCCGGCTGGTTCAAGCAATTTTCATGCCTCGGCCTCCTAAGTATCTGGGATTACAGGTGTGGACTACCACGCCCAGCTAATTTGTTTTATTTTTAATAGAGTTGGGATTTCACCATGTTGGCCAGGCCAGTCTGGAACTCCTGACCTCAGGTGATCCACCTGCCTTGGCCTCCCAAAGGGCTGGGATTACAGGCGTGAGCCACTGGCCTGGCCTTTTTCTTTTTATTAGAGATGAGATCTCACTCTATGGCCTAGGCTGGAGTGCAGTGGCGCCATCACAGCTCATTGCAGCCTCCAACTCCTGGGCTCAAGTGATCTTCCTGCTTCAGCCTCCTGAGGAGCTGGGACTGAGGCACATACTACCATGCCCAGCTAATTTTTAAATTTTTTATATAGATGGGGGTCTCACCATGTTACCAAGGCTGATCTTGAATTCTTGGCCTCAAGCTATCCTCCTGCCTCAGCCTTCCAAAATGCTGAGATTATAGGCATGAGCAGTGCCTAATTCACCCCACCTGGTTTAAAAAAAAAAAAAAAAAAAAAAAAAGATGACGGGCACAGTGGCTCACACCTGTAATCCTAGCACTTTGGGAGGCCTAGGTGGGCGGATCACGACGTTAGGAGTTCAATACCAAAATGGCCAACATGGTGAAATCCCGTCTCTACTAAAAAATACAAAAATTAGCTTTTGTATTTAGGGCATCGTGGCTCGTGCCTGTATTCCCAGCTATGTGGGTGGCTGAGGTAGGAGAATTGGTTCAACCGGGACCCAGGAGGCGGAGGCTGCAATGAGCAGAGATCATGACATTGCACTCCAGCCTAGGCTACAGAGCGAGACTCCATCTCAAAAAAAAAAAAAAAAAAAAAAAAAAAAAAAAAAGATAGATATGTGAGAGAGGATTTATTCGGAGAATTGGCTCTTGTGATTCTGGAGGCTGGGGTTGGAGGCTGAGATGTCCCACAGTAGGTTGTCAGCAAGATGGAGGCCCAGGGATGCTGGGAGCATGGTTCAGTCCAAGTCAGAAAGCCTCAGAACCACAGAAGCCAATAGTGTAACTCTCAGTCCAAGGCTGAAACCCCGGGGGGCTGGGGGGGTGGGGTATGGTGGGGAAGGCAGGGGAGGGACATTGGAGCAAATCCTGGAGGCAGAGGTTGGAAAACCTGGAGTTCTAATGTCTCAGGGCAGAAGAACATCTGGACTCGAGGAGAGAGAGACCATCAGCTACTTTTTTTTTTTTTGAGATGGAGTCTTGCTCTGTCATCAGGCTGCAGTGCAGTGGTGCGATCTTGGCTCACTGCAACCTCCACCTCCCAGGTTCAAGCGATTCTTCTGCCTCAGCCTCTCGAGTAGCTGGGATTACAGGCATGTGCCACCACACCCAGATAATTTTTGTGTGTTTAGTAGAGACGGGGTTTCACGATGTTGGCCAGGATGGTCTCGATCTCCTGACCTTGTGATCCACCCACTTTGGCCTCCCAAAGTGCTGGGATTACAGGTGTGAGCCACCGAGCCCAGCTTCTAATCCATCATCTGCCACTTCTAATCCACCATCAGGGTAGTCCAGAGGGCTTTACCTCCTAAGCATTCCTGACCCCTCCTCTGGTCCCCACCTCAGCCAGCCATCTGCACTTTACCCCCCAGCCTCCAACCCTGCTGTGGCCTCTGAAAGCATCTACATGTAATCCTCTGGTCCTCCCCAATGGGAGTGCTGAAATAAATTAGATGGAGTCACTGGCAATCCCAGCACTTTGGGAGTGCTGGGGCAGATTACCTGAGGTCAGGAGTTCAAGACCAGCCTGGTCACCATGGTGAAACATGGTCTCTAGAAAAAAAATGCAAAAATTAGCCAGGCATGGTGGCGGCGCCTGTAGTCCCAGCTACTCGGGTGTTTGAGGAAGGAGAATTGTTTGAACCTGGGAAGCAGAGGTTGTAGTGAGCTGAGATCCAGCCACTGCACTGCAGCCTGGGCAACAGAGTAAGACCCCGTCGCAAAAAAAAAAAAAAAAAAAAGAAAAAAAGATGGAGTCCTTTGTCTTTTTCTTTTCTTGTCCTAGCTCCCTGGGGGCAGAGGGAGTGGGTGGAATTATCTTCTGAATGTTTAGTAGAATCTCAGATAAAGCATTGTTATATTATTTCTTTGGCATGGAAGGCTGTCTTCCCTCCATCGGTCCCCAAGCGTTCCAAGCCTCCTTTAGGGTGACTGGTTTTCCAAAGCCGAGAAGCTGGCCCAGGTCTCCCAAGGGAGAAAGCTGGATATTGTACTTGGGAATCCAGTCACCAGATACGAATGTTCCTGCCATGGTGGTCACAAGGGTCTCTAGAGTCAGTCTGGGGGAAGAGGTTTTCCTGGAGGCTCTGACCCTTCCCGGCAGGTCACTTGGTGCCCTTGAGCCCCCGGCCTCGAAGGGACACAGGGTGGTGGTGGGGGAGGGGAGGAAGGGTGGGGAGACAGGGGGAATAGGCGAACCACAGGTAGGCCTGGCTATACCGGGGTCCATGGGCACAGTATCCCCTGTCCCTCCAGCCCAACCCGGGCCAGCGGGGACAGAAGGCAGCAGCTCTGTCTATCTTTCACTGCCTTTTTTCTCCTCACTGGGAAAAGTACTGTTGGGGGAGACCTGGGAAAAAGGGGCTTAATTCAGAAGTCCCCCATCCATTTCCCACTTCCTCCACCCCCCACCAACCACCCCACTTTCCACTGCCTCCATTTCCAGGTCCCCTACTTCCCCCAATCCCCCAACTTCTCACTCCCCCATTCTTAGGTCCCTGCTCCCCTCAACCCCCACTTTCCACGCCCTCCACCCACAGGTCCCCTATTCCCCGCCAATCCCCCACTTCCCACTCCCCCCACCCCCAAGTCCCCCACCGCCCCCCAACTCTCCCTTCCCACTTCCCTAACATCCATTCCTCCTCTCCTTACCCCCTACTTCTCATTTCCTCCAACCCCTCCAGCACCCCCAGTTCCCACTGCCACCCCTTCCCACTCCCCCACTCTCAGCCCCCCAACTTTGCACCCCCCCACCCCCACTTCCCAGTTCCTTCTCACTCCCCCTACTACCACTTCCTGTTGCCTACTCCAGTAACACCCCCCCCCCCCCCCCCCCCCCCCCGCTTTCCCGCTCCCAGCGAGGGCAAGGGGAAAGGGGGCCAGGAACAGGGCTGCCCCAGGCCTGGGCGATTGGTGGCTCGCGGACGCGCGGTCAGGACGCCCCCCCCCCCGCCCCGCCCCAACCCTTTACGCCCACTTTCTTACCCCTTCCTCCCCCATTCCCTTGTCCCGCACACCCTCCCTCTCCCCGGTGGAGGCGGCGGGGTCGCGGGAGGGAGGGGGCCGGGCCCAGGCGATTGGCGGCGCGCGCCCCGGAGCCCCCCCGCGCCCCCGCCTGCCCGCCCGCCCCGCCCCCGCCACCATCTGCTCGGGATTTGGCGTCGGCGGCTCCGGACGCCTACAGCTCCGGCTCCGGCTCGGGCTCGGGCTCCGGCTGCGGGTGCCGACCCAGTCCCTCCGGCCCCGCTGCGCGCCCTCCAACCTGCTGCTGCGGCCGCCGCGTCCCCCAGGCTCTGAGAGGCGCCCGCGCTCTGAGCCCCGGGCGGGATTCCCATGGAAGCGCCGCGATGTTCGCCCCCCGGCTGCTGGATTTCCAGAAGACGAAATACGCGAGGTGAGCTGGGGCCGCGGGGGTCCCGGGGAGGGGGTGCGCACGGCGGCGGCGGGGACCGGGGGGCCGCTTTGGCTCCTGGGCCCTGCTGCCCGGAGCACTAGAGGGGATCCGCGGACCTCTGACCCCCGCCCGAGGAAACCGGGACCCAGGCAGCCTCGTCTTCGCGCTGGAATGGAGTAACCCGGGCGCCCGCGCCTCCTCGCTCCTCAGGGGGCCGTTGGGCTAGTCGCTTCACTTCTCTGAACCTCATTTCCACGTTTGCAAAACGGGGGTTATGCGAGTCCCCGTGCCCCGGGCCCCCGTGAGGATGAAGCGAGCTGGTCCTTGCAAAGCACTTTGCACAGCGCCTGGAGCCCAGTTACGCTCGGTCACTTACGCTAGGTCTCTCTTGGGCACTCTTGTTCAAGGGAAAAGGTTGGTACCACCTCTGTCCACCCTTTCAGCAAGTCGGAGAAAAGAGTAAGGGCTCTTTTCAGATGGAGAAACTGAGGCTCAGGGCTCAGGACGGGCGGGGGGCACCTGCACATCCTGGTCATTTCATAGTGTGAACTCCGAGGTCCCCTCAGAACCTCGGTTTTGTAAAATGGTAGTGACAGACGCTGTGATAGCTAAGTAGAAGTTAGGCTCCTGTTGCTTGGAATTCCAGCTGAGGGGGTGGGCGCGGGGATGGACGTTTCTCCTTTCTGCATTTCTCTTTCTTTCTTCCTTTAATTCAGAGTTTCACTATTTGTCACCCAGGTTGTAGTACAATGGCCCAGTCTCTCGAAAGGCTCACCACAACCTCTGGCTCCCGGGTTCAAGTGATTCTTCTGCCTCAGCTTCCCGAGTAGCTGAGATTAAAGGCATGCACCACCACACCTGGCTAATTTTGTATTTTTGGTAGAGAGGGGGTTTCACCACGTTGGTCAGGCTGGTCTCGAACTCCTGACCTCAGGTGATCGGACCACCTAAGCTTCCCAAAGTGCTGGGATTACAGGCGTGAGCCCAGGCGCCCCGCCCCTTATTACATTTCTTTAAGATATTTTGTTGGGATGTGTGCTTACCTGGAAGCTGGCATGAAAAATTCCCTCCTAAAGTTGCTCCTCGGTCCCCCGTGGTCTTTGGGGAGCACAGACCGTTCTGGTGGGAGCAGCCCCCAGGACCTCTTTGGAGGGTGCACCAGCCTGTCCTCCAGGTCACCTTCCCGCCTCTGCCACCTGGGGTCCCCTGCCTTCATGAACAGAGGGGCCTGGTGTGTACTGAGGCTCCAGGGATGGTGAGTTGGAGGTGGGTTGGCAATATTTTTTCTACTCACATCAGTGTGGCTTATCACTTGCAAGTGGTTGTTGAGAGTCCCTGGTGTCCCTGAAGTCTCTACAAGTTCTGGTCAGATTGAGCACAGCTTGACAACAGAAGCACAGGGCAAGGATGGTGTCCAGGGTAGTGAAGTCTGGGGGACAGGACTGAGCCCTTCCTTCCCTGTCCGTTTCATCCTGTTTCCCCCTGGAGGACACTGTGAGTGTGTCTTTCATAAACTTGGGGAATCCCACCCAGAAATACGATGCACTTGGGAAAGACTTGAGGATGGGTTCCTGCGGATTTTCTCGGCCAGACAGTGGGACTGGACTTACTTTTTTTTTCTTTGTGACAGGGTCTCGCTCTGTCACACAGACTAAAGCTGGAGTGCAGTAGCATAATCATGGTTCACTACCGCCTCAAACTCCTGGGCTCGAGTAATCCTCCTGCCTCAGCCTCTTAAATAGCTGGGATTGCAGGTGTGGAACACCACCACGCCCAGCTAATGTTTTTGTTTCTTTGTTTTGAGATGGAGTCTCACTCTGTCACCCACTCTGGAGGGCAATGACACAATCTTGGCTCACTGCAACTTCTGCCTCCCTGGTTTAAGCAATTCACCTGCCTCAGCCTTCCGAGTAGCTGGGATTACAGGTGCCTGCCACCACGCCCGGCTAATTTTTGTATTGCTCGGGTCTTGCCATGTTGCCCAAGCTGGTCTCGAACTCCTGGCCTCAAGTGATCCTCTCACCTTGGCCTGCCAGAGCGGGCACTTGGACTTGTAAAGGCTGGCTCCAGGGGATTTTGTGAGATGTAAGTTGGTGGACTGTTCACGGGAAAGGGAGGAGTCCTGGGTTGAAGGCTGTCGATGACGACATGAAGGAAAGGCGCTCTGAAGTCTCTGCAGCCAGCCTGTGCCTGCCCCACCCCTGCTTGTGACCCTGGAAGATGTCTCAACCTCTCTTGACCCCAGCGGGTTGATCTGTGAAGTCAGGAGAGCTGGTCTCAATGATCTCTAGATTTGGACACTCGTGCTGCCTGCTCTGGAATTGGAATGGGGATCTGGAGCTGGGGCGTGGGCCAGTCTTTGACACTTGGGCTGATGTGGCTTCTATGAGTGATGGGTCCAAGGAGGAAATGGATCACATGGATTAGTCCTATTTCTGTTCCCTTCCTCATTGTGAACCCTTACAACTGTACTGTCCACAAATTAGGTCTGTAATAAAGGCTTCTTGATGAAGTATTTTTGTTTTTGTTTTTGTTTTTTTTGAGACAGAGCCTCACTCTGTTGCCCAGGCTGGAGTGCAGTGGCGCGATCTTGGCTCACTACAACCTCCGCCTCCGGGGTTCAAGCAATTCTCCTGCCTCAGCCTCCTGAGTAGCTGGGATTGCAGGCAAGCACCACCACACCTGGCTAATTTTTGTATTTTTAGTAGAGACGGGGTTTCACCAAGTTGGCCAGGATGGTCTCAATGTCTTGACCTCGTGATCCACCTGCTTCGGCCTCCCAAAGTGCTGGGATTACAGGTGTGAGCCACCGCGCCCCGCCGTGATTTTTTTTAAAAGATAGGCTCTTACTCTATTGCCCAGACTGGAATGCAGTGGTATGGTTATAGCTCATTGCAGCCTCAAACTCTTAGGCACAAGTGATTACCCTGCCTCAGTCTCCTGAGCAGTTGGGACTACAGGTGTGCACCTCCATGCCTGGCTAATTTTTTTAAAAAAGTATTTGTAAAGATGAGGTCCCACTATGTTGCCCACGCTGCTCTTGAACTCCTGGGCTCAAGTGATCCTTCTGCCTCAGCCTCCCAAAGTGTTGGGATTACAGGCATGAGCCACTGCATCCAGCTGATTGAATGAATTTAATGGAATAATCCAGTGCTGTCCATGAGAAACATACAAGCCACAGATGTAGCTTTATTTTATTTATTTAATTTTGAGATGGAGTCTCTTTCTGTCACCCAGGCTGGAGTGCAATTGCACAATCTCGGCTCACTGCAACCTCTGCCTCCTGGGTTCAAGCGATTCTCCTGCCTCAGCCTCCACCATGCCTGGCTAATTTTTTTTTTTTTTTTTAGATGGAGTCTTGCTGTTGTCAGCCCAGGCTGGAGTGCAGTGGCGGGATCTTGGCTCACTGCAACCTCAGCCTCCCAGGTTCCAGCAATTCTCTTTCCTCAGCCTCCTGAGTAGCTGAGATTATTGGTGCCTGCCACCACACCCAGCTAATTTTTGTATTTTTTAGTAGAGACGGGGTTTCACCATGTTGGCCAGGGTGGTCTCAAACTCCTGACCTTAGGTGATCCACCTGCCTTGGCCTCCCAAAGTGCTGGGATTATAGGAGTCAGATACTGTGTCTGGCCAGCTTTAAATTTTCTAGTAGACATTCAGTTTAATGTGTGCCTAATATTTAATCTTGTTATAAGACGGTAAAAATAAACAGGTGAAATTATTATAATTTTTAGAATATATTTTAGTTAACTCTTTATTCCAAAGCATTATATCAACATGCAATGAATATGAACAAATTATTTATGAGATATTTAATATTTTTTTCCACCACAAGTCTTCAGCATCTAATGTGCAATTTATACTTACAGCCCATCTAATTTGGACTTGTCAATTCTAAGTACTCAATAACCACATGTGGTTCGTGTGTCTACCATATTGATATCTTCTATGGTGAGAGTATTCCAAATTAATGCTGTGTGACATTGCAAAAGATGCTCTCCTTGGAGCCTCTGTTTCTCAATGGATGGATGGGCCAGCTAACTCCTAGGTTCTATCCTAGAGTCTTTGATGTAAGTAACCATCTGGTCACCTGGAATGGTTTTTTTTTTTTTTTTTTGAGACGGAGTTTCGCTCTTGCTACCCAGGCTGGAGTGCAATGGCGCGATCTCGGCTCACCGCAACCTCCGCCTCCTGGGTTCAGGCAATTCTCCTGCCTCAGCCTCCTGAGTAGCTGGGATTACAGGCACGCGCCACCATGCCCAGCTAATTTTTTGTATTTTGAGTAGAGACGGGGTTTCACCATGTTGACCAGGATGGTCTCGATCTCTTGACCTCGTGATCCACCCGCCTCAGCCTCCCAAAGTGCTGGGATTACAGGCTTGAGCCACCGCGCCCGGCTTGGAATGGTTTTTGTGCATAAAGAAACATTCACATCATAAAGCTGTAAGAATTAAGACAGTATGGTGTTGGTGCATGGTTGGACAAATTGACCAGTGGAGTAGAATAGAGAGGCCTGAAACAGATTCATGCATGTAAAGGCATTTTAAGCTGTGTGTAGTGGCACATGCCTGTAATCCTAGCTACACCTGAGGCCAAGGCGGAAGAATCACTTGAGGCCAGGAATTTGAGAACACTCTGGGCAACACAGCAAGATCCTATCTAAACTTTTTTAAAGGCATTTTATTTTTACGAAAGATGGTGTTGTTGATAAACCTAGGCAAGGATGGTCTATTAAATACATGGTACTGAGACAATTATCTATTCAGATGAGAACAGTGGAACAGGAGCCCTACCTCACACCATGCAGAATAGACACTTCTAGTGGGATGAAAGTTGTAAATGAAATAAATAAAAAACTTGAAAATTTTGAGAATCTATAAAAGAATAACTTTTGACTTCAGGATAAGTAAAGGTTTCTGAAGGAACATAAAGTACAAATTGTTAAAAAAAATTGATGAACTTGACTACATTAAAAATTAAGTTTCAGACTGGGGAAGGTG